TAGGGGAACAAGGGCCACCGCCTGAGAACCACCGTCCTGTCCCCAGCGGCTTGACCCAGGAGCCCGGCAGCGTGGGGCAGCTGACCCTGTATTGTACTGAGGGCGCTATCGAATGGCTATATCCAGCCGGGGCGCTGCGCCTGACCCTGGGCAGCCCCGATCCGGGCACACAGCCCAGCATCGTCTGTCTGCGCCCCTCGCGGCCCTTCGCCGGTGCCCAGGTCTTCGCTGAACGGATGGGCGGCAACCTAGAGTTGCTACTGGCCGAGGGCCCAGACCTGGCTGGGGGCCGCTGCATACGATGGGGTCCCCGCGAGCGCCGGGCCCTTTTCCTGCAGGCCACACCACACCGCGACATCAGCCGCAGAGTTGCTGCCTTCCGTTTTGAGCTGCATAAGGACCAGCATGCAGAAATGCCTCCCCAGGCCCAAGGTCTTGGTGTGGATGGTGAGTGACTAGACTGGCTGAGGAGGAGGAGGAGGAGGAGGAGGTTGATGCCAGGAAGTGGCTCTCTAACCAGGTCTTGACACCTCACTGCACAAAGGGACCATCTGTAACTTGTTGGAGAGTGGCTTCTAGGTCATAGGGAGGTGGGTTGGGAGTGCTCCCTCCTTTCCCTCCTCCTCTTCAGGGTTTTTGGGAAAGAGCAGGAGGGAGCAAATGCAGGAGAGGCCAGCCCTGTGCCTCTGGTTTCTGGAGGGTTGGGGGAAGGGGTGGGCTGGGGCAAAATCAAAGCCTGTGGCCAAAGCTGTCCAGGGCTCCCTGGCCTGGTGGTGACCTCCCTCCCCTCCCCCAGCCCAGCCAACAAAAGTCCAGTGTGCCTCTTCGTCACCATGGAGACGCCTGCCCTGCCTCCCTGCAGGGCACCAGGCCCAGTGCTTTGCTCTTCTGGAACTTGCAGCCTGACCCTGCAGGGGATGGCTCTCTGACTGTTCTGCCCTAGCTGGGGACCCCAGAACCAGAGTCCACCAGAATGTCCTGCCACCCTAGCTGGGCCTGTGAGGCAGCTCTGAGAGGTCACAGAATGTTCTTCGGCGTTGGTATGAGTTTATGAGATGGGTGTGCAAGAATGTGTATGAGGCAGTGAGATGTCCATCGGTAGGCATGTGCCTGCGGGCTGCACCTCGACTGCTGGTGTCTTCAGGCCGTATGATTGTTGGGAGAAGGGTTTAACCACCAGCTCTGAGGCCTTTTCCTGCTGGGAGGAGCTGTGGGCTTGTGCTGAGAGAGCACAGCCTGGCTGATGACTTGCCTTGCATGCTAGGTGCCTGCAGGCCCTGCAGTGATGCTGAGCTCCTTCTGGCTGCATGTACCAGTGACTTTGGTGAGTATTCCTGGTGTGGGACAGCTTAGGGTCTGCCCCACACTCTCACGTGTCCACCACTGGCCACCATGTCTCTTCATAGTGATCCATGGGACCATCCATAGGGTTGCCCACGACATGGAGCTGCAAGAATCAGTCATCACTGTGGTGGCCACCCGTGTCATCCGCCAGACATTGCCACTGTTCCAGGAAGAGGGCTCAGAGGGCCAGGGCCAGGGCCAGGCCTCCATTCGTACCCCGTTGCGCTGTGGTGTGCGTCCTGGCCCAGGCTCTTTCCTTTTCATGGGCTGGAGCCGATTTGGTGAAGCCTGGCTGGGCTGTGCTCCCCGCTTTCAAGAGTTCAGCCGTGTCTATTCAGCTGCCCTTAAAGCCCACCTCAACCCATGTGAGGTGGCACTGGACTGAGAGACCTGGGAGCAAGCCCCCATCGGAGCTTCTTCTGGGAATGGGGTACTGGGAGGGGTGGTAGGAGGGTGGGTGGGAAGGGTGTGGCTCAGACTGCATCCTGGTACCCAGAGTGAGGTGATAGAATACTAAATTACCTGGATCACACCAGCCACTATAGACTTGGTCGTCTGTTGACACACCCAGCTCTGCTCCTGCCTCACTTTACTTGCTCTTTTCTCTGCTGCACTCCTAACCCTTCTTAGCCTGCCTGCCCTGTTGAGCCAGCTGACTAGTGAGCCCCTGTTTTCCTTTAACTTCAGCATACTCTTGGGGCTAAGAGCAGCAGTGCCGAAATTCTCAAGACTTGGGCTAATTGGGGTCCTTTAGGTGGCCGGGGAGGAGGGGGAGGTGGGGGCAAGCAGATGGACACCACTTCACCACTGAACTAGGTCTATTGGGGGGGTGCTGAAGTCTGGCAGTGTGCCATTCCCTTCCATGGTCATTGTGAGCCATACAGTCATCCTTGGCCTGGTCCCGCCCTTGGGGAAGAATGGGCCCCTCTGTCCGGAGGCCCCCGAGACGTGCTGAGCATCCAGACATGGCAAAGCGCCTGCAGGGTGTGGGGTCTCCAATGCAGGATCCTGCTTGTTCGTTTCCGGCGGGAGAAGTGCACAATGGGGTCTCTAAGGACTGTTTCCCGCCACTGGCCCCATTGTTGCTGTCCCTGCCTTCCTCCTCGGCCTCTTTATTTCATAAAGGGCTAGTGAGACCCTGGACAGAAAAAGCCAGTGGCCTGAAAGCCCTTAAGTGAGGTGTGCACTAGTTTTCTCAGGCGCCAACCAAGCACATTCCTGCCACCTCTCCCTCATGGCTTCTGAGAAACTGCTTCAGCTCCAGTGCTGAGTGGAGTGGAAGGGAGTTCCAGAAGTGGCTTTCTGTCCTTGTGTGCCCTCCCTTTAAGGCTTTCATCCGTGATCACCTCAGTGGATTATTCATTCTTTGGTAAGAAACAGGCTGGGCGTGGGACACAGATGGGCAGGGACCAGACATGGTTCCTTACTCCAGACTTTGCCAATGAAGGTACCTGGTTAAACCACACCCTACATAGGCCCTGGAATAGCTACCTTGGAATGTTTATAGGCAGATAGCTTAAATAACACCTGTGCATATTCTGGGGTTGGGCAGAGAGCATGGAAGTGAGGGGAAGAGAGCACTCCTGAAGAGCAGGTGACACCATTTTCTTCTGCCATCTATCTGACTCTGAGCTGGCTCCCTGCTACTTACTGCTTTTTCCCCAGATTCTATGAAGTGCTAAGGGCTTAGACCAGCTCCTTTCCACCTAGGTGTAGGGGAAGACTGACCAATGGCTTCATGTTTGCTCTAGGGAACAAGTGATGAAGGCCCCCAAAGTGGAAGCAGAGACAGCAAAGGGAATGGTGGTGTGTGAGCAGGTAGACTGAAACCATAGGAACTAGGCTGGGAAAACCTGTGTGGACCAGAGACACCTCCAAGTAGAGCCCTGGCAGCTGAGGAACAGAGTGCTTTGTGTGGGTGCCAGTGTCAGGTAAAGTTGCTAGGGCTTTCTGGGTGCTCTAGGCCTGTGAATGCTGCCAGGAGCAGCAGACAAGAATAGCTGTGCCCAAGCAATCCTGTCTAGAATTTTGTGTGGGAGGGCCCGGTTACAGTTTTCCCGGTGACCAGATTCTGAGCTGGGTGCAGCAGAGCCTCTCTCCTCAGAATACACATACTCCTGCTACCTCAGGGACACCCGACCTACAGACTGTTTTGGAGGAAAACATTCTGCACCTGGGACACAGGGTGGTGGTCTTGGGCATGCTCTATTTGTGAGTCATCACTGTCTCTGCTAGAGATAGCCGAGGAGGATCAGGCCAGGACTGCATAGACAAGGAGGACCTGGCGTTTACTGCCATTTAGCAGTGATTGACTCAAGGCTTTATCTGTTTCCATGCTGGGCCTTACTAGGAGTCACTCAACCCTTTATTTTTGAAGGAGGGAGATCTTCCGGGCTCCTGAGCTGTCTTTCACCCCAGGCTGGGCCAGCTGCCAGCACCCAGCCTCTCACATCCGGCCCCCTCCCACCCCACTCACTAGAGAGCCAACATCTGTCTGTATCTGCCCGCCCCTCTCCTTCGACCCCAGAACACGCTCTATTTCCCTCCTAATTGTCGTCGCTGTCGCAGAGACTGGAAGGACGTCCTTTCGTGGGTTGCTTCTGGGTGTTTGGTAGGCTTCTGGAAGTCTTGGTCAGCAGAATCCACATGAGAATGACTTCCAATTATAATGGCCCCTGTTTGAACTCGGGGCTGCGGGGCAGGAGCAGTATGGCGTTAGGGAGACCTAGAGCTGAGATTCCGTATGGTGTCTGCAGGGTGGACCCTGAGGCTGGCCTCTGCAGATCTTGGACCAAAGACCTACAAGGGGCAAACCCTGTAAGGCTCACCTATTGCCTGTGTCATTGGGATCCAATACGGAACACACGGGCGGGGCCAAGTCCGGCTGGGCGGAGAAAAATGAGTGACAGAGGGCTCCACGGGCCCTTTCCACTTCCGGCATCTCATCGCCACCTCTCCTAGACTTACACTGTCGCTGCCACGGCTAGGGTAGGTTCCGGGCACAGAGAGTACGGCTCAGGCCGGCGGTAGCCGGGAGGGCAGCCGCCTCCAGCTCCCGGCTGGGGGCCTTGGAAAGGACCGCTCTGAACTGTCTCTCAACCATGGATCACGACGACCCTGCCGAGGCTTTGACTGCGCTGCGCGAGAGGCGGCCGGGCTTGGTGGAGATATTGCAAGCGGC